ATTCAAGAGACGATGGTAGATCAACAATAATTAGGGAAATTTTTCAGCATAACTTTTTCTTATAAATTTTTTTAAAACCAAAAATTGATGTAAATGAAGTTTTTTGCTCATACCTGTCTGGAAATAGTTTTCTTTTTCGTTGAACCCCTCTGACGAATAAAATTGGAACTTTGTCTGACTTCATCGGAGTAAAAGTTATACGAGTCGCTTTTTGTAATAAATGCAAAATGTTTCAAACTCCAAAGAGAACCAATGTCTTTTGACAGTGCATCTATAATATAAAGAGGTATAAAATTATACAATTATGAAACATCTAAACAATTTTTTATTTTTACTTTAATCAAAACTCAGAGAAATGGAAATGAAAATTTCGGGAATTTTTTGTTCTTATAAAATAAATATTTATGAAAATGAAAATGAACTTCCAAAATTATTAACTAACTTTTGCTAATTTTAAGACAAATAGCTTATTACAAATTTAAGAAAGTGCTCTTCTTCATATCAATTAATACTAATTTCAGTATTTATATTCACAATAATACAAATATTAATTTAAAAAAAAATATTTTAGTACATAAAATTTATAGCAAAGAAATTAACTTCGACACTTTAAAGTAAATCTATAAATACTTTTGTTATTGACTTAAATTGTTGAACCCTTTGCCCTCTGATGTCACGGAGTAGATATCGAAAGTTAACACTCTAATACTAGTTTTTATATCTCAATAATTAGTATCCACATTATTTAATGAGTTTTAGAAATTATATAAGACTATTGTAGTTGTAAAGTTAGTAGTATCATCACAACCTCAATTGATTTCCATGACAATGTCGTAATGTCCATTGCAATAGTAATTCATATATGACGAATTGACCCCAGGTGGCTGAGCGGTAGCGCTTCGCGCTGTCGTGCCACAGGTCCCTGGTTCGATATTCGGGCCGGGCAAGGTTGACTCAGCCTTTCATCCCTTCAGTGGGTCAGTAAATGAGTACCAAGCATGCTTGGGAATTAAACACTGGGGGTTCCGAGTTCGGCTGACCACCTAACTGGAACATCTGCTCCTGCACCCCAGAGACCAAGGTCAAGAAAATTGAGATGGGCACAGGAGGCCTTGGCCCTCTATGGACTGTCGCGCCAGTTTGCGAGTTTAGTTTAGTTTATGTGACGAATTATTTCGTCATATCCAACGTGAGCCGAGGAATACGCTGAGAAATTTCAAAATTTATGCATTTAAAAAAAAAATTGCCATTGTCTATACTCGGTCAATCATCCAAAAGCAGCTTATTTGTGTATATATATATATATATACATAAAAATTTCCCTTAATAAAAATTTTGCCGAAAAATTTAAATTCATATCTAAGAAGGAGGTAAGAAAAAGAAAGTAAACTATTAACGTTGTAAATAATTCTTACCCACATTAGCGTGATCGGACAAATCCAGTACATAGAATTGCAAAACATATTCTCTTGAAATTCGTGGATGAGTCTAAAAAAACACTATTTATTAGAATAAAATATTTTTATCGGTCTACAAAAAAAAGAAGAAAAAAAAAACAGAAAAAGGTTATGAGTAATTTTTTTTAAACAAAACTTTTTTTTATACTTGACTTATTTTGGCTATCCAAAATCCTGTTTCCATGTTGTCGCAAGCAATGAAGATGGAATGCAGTTTTACCAAAAGATCCTTAAATACAAAAAGAAAAAATGATTAGTAGGCTAATTAACGTAATTATTTTGTCAATGTTAGAATAGGTTGCATTAAACCATAAAGCCTTTTTCATAAATACATATTTTACTGCAACACGTATTTTTTCAAAAGAAAAAGTTTTTTTTTTTCGATTTCAAATATCGAGATATTATTTGAAGTTTTACTCTTCTAAAAAAAGTGGACCAGCTGATCACTAATATAGTGGATCAGCCGGAAACTGATATTTTATTTTTGCATTTGCTAGGTAAATGATTGCTCTCTAAGGCTAGTAATTAAAAGCTACATGCCCGCTCCTTACGGCTAATAATTAAAAGCTACAATGTCATTACTCGCGTTGATTTTCAATGTCTACTTAAAAAAGAAATTACTTCAAAAAGATAAATACTAAATTTAAAAAGAAATCGATTTAGAAATTCATATGTTTTTTTAATATTACGTCATATACTTTTATATGAAACTTCTTTTATTGCTATATCAACAATCATTTTCATAATCAATTGCCGTCTTATTATTGGTTGACTTAGTGACGATGTATGCTATTCATAGCTAAAAAATCTCCCATCTCAATCCATCTTTTCCATTCTAACGCAAGTTTTAAACCTATAATTAAATAATAGATTTTGAATGATTTTTGACTCTAAATTCACGAAGAATTCACGATAAACGTATTTGATGATTTAATACTAACAAGTATCCAATGATTTAATCTGACAAGATTGATTTCAACAATAAAAAATGCTCTTTAAAAACCATGCTAAGATTTTCAAAATGTAAACAATTACCTTATTGCTTGCTTCATCTCTGTATGAATATGCACCGTATTTTTCAGCCAAAATGATTTCTGTTGATTCGAAACATCTTGTAGCTTTAGTCGGTGATTGTAGCTCTAAGAGCGGAATGAACGAGCCCTTGTATTCTCTTTAGCCCTGCTTCTAAAGTGCTATTTTTTTGATATTTTTTATAACAATCGTTCCAATTTTGAGATCACAGCTACTATCGTTCAACTTTGAACCCAATCCAGAAGACTGGATCAAGCATTGAGAGAAATTTGCCTTGGTTTAGGACTTTACGATGGAACGGATCTGCATTTGCGTTACACGGAGAAGAAAACTACGAAAACATCCCAAAGTTAGCCAGGCAATAACGGAACTCTAATCCATGATCCGTCTACCACTGAGGATATTTTACGTCAGCACTGTAGACAGTGCGAGCCGGGTGCGGGATTCGTATCGAGCAACCATTGTATCGAGCTCGAGTTACCCCATTAGGTGGCGAGAGCTCTATTCTCCGAGCCACCATGACTCAAAAGTAAATCGTCCGAACGGGGACTTTCAATGCCATTAGGTTCATTAACGTAATTTTGTTAATGTTAGAATAGGTTGTATTAAGCCACGGAGCTTTTTTTATAAATAAATATTTTACTGAAACACGTATTTTTTAAAATTTTTTTTTAATTATTTTTTTCTAGGTTTTAAATATCGAGATACTACTTGAAGTTTTACTCTTCTAAAAAAGTGGACTAGGTGATCACTAATATAGCGGATCATCCGGAAACTAATATTTTATTTTTACATTTGCTAGGTAAATGGTAGTTAGCAATTAAAAGCTACAATGCCCGTTCCATACGGCTAGTAATTAAAAGTTACAATGTCATTACTCGCGTTGATTTTCAATGCTTACTCAAAAAAAAAATTACTTCAAAAAGAAAAAATTATACTAAATTTAAAAAAAAATCGATTTAGAAATTCATATATTACGTCAATTCATATATTAAGAAGTACTTTTATATGAAACTTCTTCTGTCGGTATATCAACAATCATTTTCATAATCAACTGCCGTCGTATTAATGGTTGACATAGTGACGATCTATGCGATTCATAGCCAAAAAATATCTCGTCTCAATCCACCTTTTCCATTCTAAAGTGAGTTTTAAACCTATAATTAAATAACAGATTTTGAATGATTTTTAGCTCTTAAAGTAGGCTGAAGAATTCACGGTAAACGTATTTGATGATTTAATATTAACAAGTATCCAATGATTTAATCTGACATGATTGATTTCAACAATAAAAAATGCTCCTTAAAAACCATGCTAAGATTTTCAAAATGTAAACAATTACCTTATTGCTTGCTTCGTCTCTGTATGAATACGCACCATATTTCTCAGCCAAAATTATTTCTGTGGATTCAAAACATCTTGTAGCTTTAGTCGGTGATTGTAAAGAAATTTTTAGTTCAATCGGACCACTTTTGCCTTTTAAGTGAATTACATTACCTGGAGTAAAAAAAATCATCGAATTAATTATTTTACTTATCATACTTATGCTCTTTATAAATGGAATGTGCACCTCAAGGTTACATGATTAGTCCACTCTCTACTCTTCCCCTCTTTCGTTTCCCTGTTTTCGGAGTCCCGCAGTGGACTGATCGTTAAGACACGGTTCCNGAAATTCATATGTTTTTTTAATATTACGTCATATACTTTTATATGAAACTTCTTTTATTGCTATATCAACAATCATTTTCATAATCAATTGCCGTCTTATTATTGGTTGACTTAGTGACGATGTATGCTATTCATAGCTAAAAAATCTCCCATCTCAATCCATCTTTTCCATTCTAACGCAAGTTTTAAACCTATAATTAAATAATAGATTTTGAATGATTTTTGACTCTAAATTCACGAAGAATTCACGATAAACGTATTTGATGATTTAATACTAACAAGTATCCAATGATTTAATCTGACAAGATTGATTTCAACAATGAAAAATTCCTCATAAGAACCATGCTGTTGTAGTTGTAGTTCATTTACATCGCATTAGAGCTGCACAATGGGCTATTGACGTGCCACAGTGCACAGGAACTCCGTTGCCCACTAAGCAACACCCCTCGCCCTTGACTTCGGTGATCTGTCTTAACGAACAGTCCACTGCGGGACCTTTAAGAACCATGCTAAGATTTTCAAAATGTAAACAATTACCTTATTGCTTGCTTCATCTCTGTATGAATATGCACCGTATTTCTCAGCCAAAATGATTTCTGTGGATTCAAAACATCTTGTAGATTTAGTCGGTGATTGTAAAGAAATTTTTACTTCAATTGGACCACTTTTGCCTTTTAAGTGAACTACATTACCTAGAATAAAAAAAATCATCGAATTAATTATTTTATTTATCACACTTATGCTCTTTATAAATAGAATATGCAAATGAAGGTTACATGATTAGTCCACTCTCTACTCTTCCCCTCTTTCGTTTCCCTGTTTTCGGAGTCCCGCAGTGGACTGATCGTTAAGACACGGTTCCAAGTAGATCACCGAAGTCAAGCATCACTGGCTGCGGCCAGTGCGCGGGTGGGTGACCACTTGGATCAGTCTGCGTAGGGACCTCGTTTAACTGTTCTACCGTAAAGTGCTCGACTTCGCGTGCAGGTCGTCGGGCTACCGAAGCGAGGGTGCCATCCCCTCTGCGGAGGATCAAAATTGTGATGACATGTCTTCAGATCATCCTCGGGGATGTTTCCCAGACCGTCGCCAGTAGACCATTGTGCAGGTGCGACGTAAATGAAGAAATCAAATCAAACCATGTTTTCGGCGAATCTAGCTTTTTTCCCCCACATAAGTATATTCCAATTCTTACTGAAATGTAATACCGTGGGGAAAAAACAAGATTTTCAGCAACCATGATAACAGAGAGAGAGAGAGAGAGAGAGAGAGAGAGAGAGAGAGAGAGAGAGAGAAAGTGTGGAAGTCGTGTATCTTTGAGAAAAATTATGCAAAGAGTAGTGTATTGCAGTAGATGCCTTGCTATTGATTTTTGACAAATTTATATCCACATAAAATTTTAACAAGCATTAAAATGTTCATTAATTAGGGTTACTATAGCCAGTCACACGATTTTTTCACCATGCTTTCTCGTTCTCCGTTTCCATGGATACGGAAAATCTTGTTTTTCCCTTTTGTAATCATATTCCAATTTCTTTTGAAACTTACTGCAGTAGATAAAACGGAAGATTCGCCGTAACCATGATAACATGAAAGTGTAGAGATAGAGGAAATCGCGTAACCTAGTAGTAGATAAGTTGCTATAGATGTTTGACAAATTTTCATTTATATCAACATTTAATGAACATTAAAGTACCATCGATTTGGCTTATTGTGGTCAATTTTAAACTTCTAGTAAAAGCTTTCTAAGCTTCTTTATCAGTTAAATAAAGGAAATAATTTTTTGACTTGGTTCTGGGATTAAAGCATTGATTTATGGTGTTTAAATATATATTCATTATTTTCTCTCTCAGTAGAAAATCAAAGCTATATAGATCGGCAAAATTACAGCAAAAGTTTATTGAAACAATGCCAAAATATTGACTATCAATAAATTTATATTATCGATAACATGGCAATATAAATTATACTAGAAACGGTCTGAAAAAGATAGAAATATGCGTTGTTAAGAAGCACAGAACTCTAGAAGATATTTTAGTGCTCTAGCTAGCTGCAAAGTGAAATTTGATTGCAAGATTTAATCCTCACAGACACGAAAGCGAAATAATTAAAGCATTGTAAAAAAATGAGATAGAGTTCACTAAAGGCAAATAAAAAAAATTTCTCATAACACCACTGGTACTTATTTTTTAAAAATAAATACTGACATTCTATGTGAAACAGCGTTTATTAAATTGCCAGAACCCCATATTCAAAGCAAGTCAGTATAAGAACAAGAAAATTCTCATACCTTTTTCGATAAAGGATTGCACCTCATCTGCTACAAGGAAATTTATAACAATCCCTCTGATATTAGACGAAAAATATGGTACCGGAATATTTTCTTGCAAACTTGCCCTAAAGAAAAGCAAGTAGATACAGAAGAAGAAACAAAAGACGTCACTTTGAATAATTTATATTCCAGTGATCGGATAAGTATGTAGTATATAGAAATCCGATCATTAAATCAAAATTTATTCCAGGTGTTAATTTTTATTATTATTATTATTTTGCTCAGTGTATAGTGCACAAAATTAAAAACGGACCACCCTGACTAACTTTTGATATAATGATCGAATCCTTACGTTCTAGAACTCAATCTTATAAGTTCAAAGGAGTTACCTCAATTTCTTTTCGACGGATTCGGATTTTTAACCCAAAAACCATAGAGGGTTTTTCGCGATTTGGGAAAAATGGTGCCAATCGTTAGGTCAGGAGAGCAGTTCGAAGTTTGGATCTTTTAATGTTAATTTTACTTTTTACGCATGTTTCTCGAGAACTTTTTAAGTGAATTAACAATTTTTTGCACACAATTATAAAATTTGTTTATCTAAAGATAATTCTATACACACAATAACTTTGAGTAAATATTTATTATTTTTTATTATTTTATTTAATAATAGACGAAAAACTTGAATTATAAGGTATACAATTTTTTGTATCATTTTAAATAATGTAATTTTACATGGCAAATTATAAAATTTCAAATTAGTTATAATTAAACTGTTTTTTTTTTTTTTATACTATCTTCTCGCTTCTGAAATATATTTAGTCTGAATTATATTTCTCCCTCAATTAGGTTCCTTGTTACCCAATCTTACCCTATATGTTTTAGGAGTAGTATAATGTTTGATTGCTTGTATTCTTGGTTTGAGTGTATTAAGGGTATTTATAAGAAAAATGAAGATCATTAAGGGTATTTATAAGAAAAATGAAGGTTGCGTCTAATTAAAGTTGTCAAATGTAAGCAATCCGAATCGAAAACTTTACAGCACGATTTGATGAAAATTAACAGTTCAATCACAATGCCAACTTTAATTGCTGATCCCTAGTACATTTAATATTTATTTTTCAAAAACTTAATCTACACATCAGTAATATTTCTTTTTAGCCTAAAACTTAAAATGATAATTTATTTCATTAACAGCAAAAATGACCTGCTAAAAGAAGTTATGAATTTTACCAGTTAGAAGAAGAATCTTGATTTTGTTCAATATTCCAAGATGACAAAGAAATCATTCGTAAATTTTCACTCTTAAAGCAGAGTCTAGAGTTCATTGATGGTTCCTGCAAAGATTATAATAGTATTAAAAAATCTTATTAATTTACTATGAGTACTAATAATAGAGATAACTGGAGAAGGATGAGAATAGTATTTAGTTTTTGATGACAAGGGGATCGTTACAGAGGATAGCAGTCCAGCTTTACAATAAAGTGAGGACAAAATTCCATGTCTTGAAGCTCTTCATAACTGGTAAAGATTTTTTAGAAAGTTACTTTATTGATACCAATTTACTCCAGATATAGAGTAAGATAATCTTAATGGTATGTTAGCATAGCTTGAGGGTTAACCGGACTTAAGATAAGCTCAGAAGAATGTTCTGAATGTTGCATTTCAATTAGCTTAGAAGCATCAGTTTAGAATATATAGGTACAATAGGAAGCTATTTATAATAAAAATTCTATTGAAAATCGTCATACTTAATGATTTGGCAGAAGAAAAATAAGTTTTAAACATCCAGATTACCATAATAAGTTTTTAAATCTAAATTTCCGCACTTATTTATAAAATCATTTGACTTTTTCAAATATTAAAATCAAAATGTTCGTATAATAAATTGGCATTCTAAATAAATTAGAGACCATAAAATAGCCGCTGATCCAATTCAATTAATTTTGCAAGAATTAACAATATAACTCATAGGTTTCACAAATGCGCAGATAAAAAATGATTACGACTGTGTTAACTTATTTTTTCCTACATTCCTCGATTTGTATAGCAAAAGTCTGGTAAAGGAGTCTTAGCATAAATAGTCAACTGGTAAAAAATTAATAATATAGTTCAAAATCAAGTAATATAGTTCATATGTAGTTTAAAAACAAATTATATAGTTCACATGCAGTTTAAATATAAATAATAAAAAATTAATAATATAGTTCAGTTTAAAAATTGGTAATATAGACTTATTATTTGACATGTTCACTTGCGTTTTTTTATATTTTTAATTATATTTTAAGAACATTTTTTAACTATGCCCATCTTCCTCCCCCCAATCATCTTTTTGAAAATAGTGACTGAACTATTTTACCGCAAGATTACCTTGTTTTAATGAATATATCTAATTGCAAAGTCAACTTACGAGCATAATTCGAGTTTTCTGTTGTTTTCCATCTGTTCTAAAATACTAAAGAAAGAGAGAAAAAAATCAATTATCAAATAAATTTTTAAATCCATAAAACGTTATTGAAATGAATTTAAATATCTCACAGTTAAGAAGTCAATCCAATAAGTATAATCAATATTTAGGTTTGAATGTGCGGATATCAACTTAGATTGACACAATTCTTGTTGAGGAACCAGAGAAGGAACGATTTGGATATTCATCACGCTTTCTATTGATATGTCACTATTTATTTTCAATTCTTGCGAAATAATTTTCAAGGTTTCCTCCAGTAAGGATCTGAAAAGAAGTTTTATATACAATTAAATGTATTTATACTCCATGGCAAGTTGCAAAAAGGACCATTGTGGTATAAGATATAAGTAATCATCCGCGACAACATATAGTTCCGTTTTATTTCGTTATCAATTTTTCACAAATATGCTTTCAAAACAAATTAAAAGCTTTTAAATGTTAAACACGGCAGNCTTCATATCAGATCTGGTTCTTTCGAACCTTAATTCTGAAACTTTTTTGTTAAGAAAGAGCTCTGTTTACATACATTTAAATTTTCAATATTTGATAACAGTATTTACTCATGCAATTACCAAAACAGGGGCATAATAATCTCTCTCTAATAGACAATCGTAAGCGCCGCCGTCTCTGTTTTGGATATGAACAAAACTGTGTTACAGAACTATCCAGAGTTACAATAAATAGGAAATATATAATAAAGAGGAAATATATTGTACAAAGTTAAAATAAATAGGAAATATAATAATAAATAGAAAAGTGCACCACCACTTGCATATAAGTGTACTCGTTCGAGTATTTAACGTGAATGCAAAGTCTTGCTAAAGACGGAAGGGTCCAGAGCACAACAGCACATGTCTGTCACTGACCCAAGTGCACTTCAGGTGCGCCTCTTAAAATCTTACATAGGGTTCGTACGGAATGATACGTAAAACTGCGAAATCTCCTTAAATAGATTGCTTTGCGTAAATATTTTTTAAAAAAGTGAGAGAAGATATTTAGTTTTAAAAATATTTACGCTTTTGATAGGAAAAAGTTTTTCAGTGCATTAGGTTGAAAATTAGAACTTGTTGTATTAGAAATTAATGTCACCACGGACAACAGAAAATTAGGAACATTGAGACAATTTCTTTGAAATAAGAAGATTACTTAAACAGTTTATTTTTAGATCACGCATATAGGATAAATAGTATGTAGAATAAATTGGTCAAAAAATTTACAGATTTTCGCCATTTTGCTCAAATTTGATTATTATCATAAGTTTTGGCTTTAAATAAAAATAACTGTTATGCCGGATGTTTAAAAAATTACAGACGATTTGAAAAATAAATTAAGTAAAGATAGAAGGAGAAGGAAAAACATGATTTGCTGCGCTCTGCTTAGGATTTTTCATTACAAAATTGGTTACTAAGATCGATAATAGATGGCAATATGCTAGTTGGGTATAGTAAAAAATCAATGTTTTTCTGCATGTCCGACCACTTCACCGGCAACTGTAATTTTGTTCCTGTTTTGCTTTATGGTTTGTTGTTTTTGTTTAGCTTGATAATTTTGCTTGTTTTTGCTCTATAGTTTGTCTAACAAGTGCCATCTGTTGACAAATTTTGAAACCATTCGAAACTAACTGGGAAGAAATTAAAGTAGTTTCTTAATAAGAACATAACAAACCATATTACTACATCTACATTCGTTTTCATTCTATTATTTTTTTATATCATCGGTCATTTTTGAAAATTTGTAAGAATGTTTTAATTTTTTTCTAGTTTATGCGCCTGTAATCATTATGGTGGTAACATTAAAGACAGAAAAAGTAATAAATTACCTAATGACAGGCATAGGTAATAATTTCTCTAAATGTTGATAATATTCTCCACTTGCCAATTGAATAGCAAATTTTTGTGCGTCATCTTTCAAACTACTGCTGAATTTTTGACCAAAAAAGTATCGATGTGATAATTTGTTGATCAAAGTCGCATCTTTTTCGAAGAAATATTCTTTTTCCTGCAAAAAAATAAAACATATATATATATATTTTGTTTAAGAAGGAGGTTATACATATATATTTCAGTGGGTTTTTAGTTGGTAAATTTTGTTGAAAATTTTACCTGTACTTCTTTTATTATTATTTTTTATTAATTGTAATGTTTTTCATGTTGTGAATCTGATTTTATTTCTTCGATATTTTATGTATTTTCGAACATAGATAACACTTTTGATTTGTTAAACAGCCATATATATATATTCCTCCATATATATATATATATATAAAAAACCGGTCTCAGGCAGGGGAAAAGAGCGTCAATATTTATTAAACCATTATTGGCAAGAGAAAAATCATCCAAGTGACACAAAACGAAATTATAGAAAATCTTGCAAGAGAAATTGTGAATAGAAATTCGAGAAAATCTTGCAAATAAGTCCCGATGAGCTTTTAAGTCACGTACAAAAAGGGAAGCATCAGTAATTATGCTCCATTAAATAGGTAGAAGGAATAATATGGTTCTCACAGCTCCATTGAAGGGTAATATATCTATGTCTTTATTTTGAAACCATACTTTGCATACTTTTACTGTGTGGCATGGAGCTGAATCCTGCTGAAAAATAAATGGTGCGTTGTTGGGAAAGAGATCCCCGATGGAAGGTATCAATTTTGGTTTCAGGACAGTTTCGGTGTATTTTTTGGCATTCAGGATGCCAAATCAGGCCGAAAAAAATGCACAAGTGCTACTGCCGATAGAAAAATTAAACGACTATGCCTTCAAGATAGAAAAATTTCATCAGATGCCATTAGATGTGAAATGAATGCAGCGGGTATTGCAGTAAGTTCAAGAACAATAAGAAGAAGGTTATCAGGATTTGGACTACAAGCTAGAATTCCAAGGTAAAAACCATATCTAAATCAAAAGCAACGTGAAAAATGAGTTAAGTGGGCAAAAGAACACATTAAATGGTCAGAAAATCAATGGAAGCAAGTAATCTGGAGCGATGAGAGTAAAATATCGCTCTTTGGTAGTGATGGTAGAAAATACGTGAGACGTAGAGTAGGTGAAGCACTTCATCCTGATTGCATTGAAGCAACTACAAAAAACACAACTAATGTCATGATTTGGGAATGTATGTCTGCAGATGGTGTGGGCAGAATTTAAGTGATTGATGGCATCCTGAATGCCAAAAAATACATCGAAACTGTCCTGAAACCAAAGTTGATACCTTCTATTAGGGATCTCTTCCCCAACAACGCACCATTTATTGTTCAGCAGGATTCAGCTCCGTGCCACACAGCAAAAGTATGCAAAGCATGGTTTCAAAATAAAGGCATAGATATATTACCATGGCCAGGAAACAGCCCTGATCTCAATCCTATTGAAAATTTGTGGCGACGTTTGAGAATTCTTGTACGAAAAAAACGTCCATCCAATAAATTACCTTCAATTTGATATATAAACGTTTGTATTTAAGTGAAAATTAATATATTCTACAAGCACACAAAGTTGAAAAACATGAAACTTTCAAAAAATGTCCACACTTCTGGCCACCACTGTATATATATAATCATCATTAAGATTTACTAAAATCATTTGACATTTTTACCATTTTTATTTTCTCTTCTTCGAATGCAATGGAATCTTCATCAACTTGACTAGAATCATTTGTAATATTTTTAATCAGCTTTTTTTTAGTTATACGAATAGGAGCAAGATTAACTGTATTTCTGAAAAAAAAAAGCCAGTAAGGTAATTAATAAAATATTCATAATACATTTCAACGATTGCAATCAATATAGGTTATTCATAATTTTACATTTTATTTTATAACCGTCGTTGAACAGCTGCCCCAATTTTATGGGTTTACAACTATGGTTTTATGTTACGGATTACTGATGTTCAACTCCGTAGCCTTGTAATTTTGAACTCAATTCAGAAGACAAGAGAACTCCTGGATCAAGTATTGGGAGAAATTTGCCTTCGTGGAGGGCTTTTTGATGGAGCTAACTCTCATTGCGTTATATGGAGAGGAAGACCACGAGAACCTCACACGGTTAGCCTGACTGCTAGGGGACTCTAACCCATGATCCGTCCACCACTGCGGATATTTCACGTCAGCACTGGGGTCGGTGCAAGCCGTGCGGAATTCGTATCGATTGGGATTCAAACCCGGTTCGCTTCAATGGAAGACAAACGCTCTATCCCCTGAGCCATCGTGGCTGAGGTTATTCATAATTATAAAAAAATGGTCTAATTGAAAAATAATACACAAAAGAAATTGAAATGTTTCCGCATAACTTTTATTGAACAATTGTTTAGAACGCACGAAAGTTTTTGCCTACAAATATACTGTATTTTGATTGCTTTATGTCTCCCATTGTCATACGTATCTATTATAGATCGCTGAGTTCTTAAATTTTTCGGTTCATGGTACCCGGTGACATATGAATTTTCTCCCCGGCTGGTTCCAGGTATCCAGCAAAAATTTTATTTGTTACATTGCCAAATCCAGATACCCGGTAAAATTTATATTTTTTATCAGGTGGAGTATTAACACCTATACCAAACAGTATAAAAATCGTATAATTTTTTATCGAACGAGTATTTCACAAGATATAATTCGAAAGAGATTTATTTATCTAAATAAATAAAAGCGTGATTTTTTAAGAAAAAATAACTAATCAATTAAAACTACTTAATTAATTTTTCATTTACCTTACCTAAATTTCCAATATTACCTTAATTGTATTTTATTCCTACTTGCTTCTTTTCAATATAAATGTAAATCAATTCATACTTAAAATGTTATAAAATATTCTCAAATGAGTTTTTCTTGAGTTATATAATAATAATTTTTTTTCCTTCCTGATTTTATGATAAAATCAACGTTCAAAAAATGTAATTATCAAGTTTCGTTTTTTTTTTTTTAAAAAAAAAGAAAAAGAAAAAAAAAACTCGATTTGAGTTCGTTTATTGCTATGTGCTTTAATTTGCTAGGAAACTGTCAAATTAGTAACAGAATTAGAATTGCATTTATTTATATAGCACTTAGAATTACATTTGTCAGATTAATAACAGTATATTATATTTAGCTCTAAATTAGGAACGGCATTAGAATATTTAATTAGTCTTTAGTATGCAAATATTTATATTTTGTTTGCATCTGTCCTTATCAAACAAAATCCTTATCATACAAAATTTGAAACAGGAATAATAAAAACATATTATTGAACTTACTCTTTAGCTGAAAACTGAATTAGTATAAATGTAATATACTTATTTGTATTTTTAGGATCATATTCTTCGAATTTTATTTATTACGATTTGCTTTAAAATTTAAATAAATAACAAGTTAATTTCCTATTTTAACTATCATATTAAGTTTAGCTATCATATTAAGTTAATTAAAATAGCTCCCAGCCTTAGATTTCTGAATTTGCATGTCCTTCTTCTAAGCTGGTACTACTAAACCACTCTTAGCAAACATACTGTCCTAAAGGTTTTCCACTTTATTAAGGTTAACTAAATTAAAATTTAACACGAGAGCTAAATATGTTGCGCCTAAAGCAGTTATTTCAGTTTGATAATTACGAAACTAAAGGAATTAATGGATTTGCAAAAGTACAATAATTTTTATGAATAGTTTTAAAGTTAAATCTAAATATGATTGTGTTGATCATATATAAGTGTAACCCGGTAAAATTGGACACGTTCGGGTAACTGGTAGCAAATTTTACAACTCAGTGGCGTTTAACGACTCGCTCTCGTATTTAGCTTTTTTTTTTCAATTAAAAAAAGATAATTCTTGACTTTTTTTTAGTACAGGTAAGAAATTTTAGGAGAAATAAAAGCTTGCATTATAATTGCGACCAAACTACCCCCAAAGGAAACATCTCCAAAAAAAAGAAGAAAAAAGAACGTGTTGCTAAAAGTATTTATTATAAATTAGCTACCCTGCACTGGGTCTTAAGACTAAACACTGAGTTTTTTTTTATTATATTTTTTATTTTTAAAATATTTATTTCTAGCATGCTCCATAACAAGAGTTATAATACATGCATTGAAGAATGAGAATGACAAATTTAGATCAAAAATACAAAATGAAATACCGATATAAAATATAATAACAGACAAGCAAAATCTAAAAGAAAGAAAAGGGATATTATGGACAAACTTTTGAAAAATTGGTAGACAGTCAGTATTGATCAGAGTATGACAGTTTGGTGACCATTGTAATCCACTTGTGATTATATGTTTGAAACGTTCACTACGATGAGAGTCTAATTCAGAGCAGAAGAATAAAATATGTTCAATATTTTGAATTTTATTTTGGTCACAGCTGCAGAGTGGAGATTCTACGTGCTTGAATCTATGTAGGTATTCTTTACAACGAACGTGTCCGGATAAGATTTGGGTAAATTTGAAATTGGGAATGAATTTACAAAACACTGAGTGTGGAAACCCGAAACCGAGTAGTAAAATTCTTTTGTAGGATCAGGGTAATGAAAGTCTGGCTCGTTAGATTGGGTACTAGGTAATTGCCAGGGACATACCTAGTAGGAATACGTCAAGCCTTGATAACTTGTTTCTGTCTAAGTTAAACATGGATATATTGTCCTCAATAAAATATTTTTCTTACATCATTCTTGATGAGGATTCTAAAATTACATGCAAAGTGATCACAGAACAATATGTTAAATCTATGATCTGTAAATAAAAATTCTTTTACTCACTTGAAGGGAGAATTCATCATAAGAGTAGGAATGTAGGCGTTGTAAGAAAAGTGTAATGTTTGCAGAAAAAATTGTTGCTCATTGACTTCTTTTGAATGTCTGTTTTCATCCACCAAATATTCCACAAACTCTCTACAAAAAAAATTATTATCACGTGTGCTGAAGTTATAAGTGTGATATATTTTGTCCGTTCCTGCTTATTTAGTTACTTACCTGCTTAGAATGCCATCATCTGAAGAATTATAAAATATGAGATTACTTTTCGTTCGAAATGCGTTTGATAAAGATGGAAATTCGTGAATTAGACCTTCACATGAAACACTGAAAAAGTTAAAAGCATTGAGTAAAAATATTTCAACTAAAAGTATTAAAAAGAAATTACTGGTGGCATGCAAGAACACACCAAAATTGTTCTTTCTCTGTTTTTGTTTACCTTATTTTCATTCCAATATTATTCTTAATCAATTATAATGAATTTATTTTATTTATTTTTACTAAACGCTTGTAAGATAAACTTGCTTATCAGTATTCATAAAAGAAAAAGCATTTTAATAAAAAAGTAAAATGGTCTAACAAATGCAAAGAAAAAAATTTGTATCATTTGTAATAAATATATATATTTATAAAATCTAAAAAATATTTTTGTTTTTGTTTTTAAAACATAAAATATGCATTCCTGCAAATATATACAACCACTCTTGCATTTATAATTTTAGAAAGCATCTATTATATCAAAACACAAATTAATGGATTATGTAAAGATACATACCCTCACCAAGTTTCTAATGAAAACAACAAATGTTCAATGTCTTTGGTTGACCGGTACATATCAAAATAAAACAAAAACTCCATTCATATGTTTTAACTAATGATGTACTCCTGCACTGTAGTTGGCATTGGAGGTACATAAACTTGTGAAGGACAATGCCAATATTCTCAATGTCAATTTGTGGTAGACAAATTATGTATACCCGTGTAAACTTGTGAATTACAAAATGTACGAGTATGTATCACCAATACTAACAACCCTGCAAGAAGGTATCATTGTTGCTGTGATGGACATTTATAGAACCTGTTATTGAAGATGTGGATAGAACTGTTTACCATTGGTGAGGGCCAGGTAACCAAGGGTGTGTGCTTAGAACATTTACAATTTTAGCATGTACCTAAAACTTGATGAGTTATTGTATTTTTACTTACATTAGCCATCCCTGTGCGACGTATATTTGGCTTTTGTTGTTAATTTACGTCGCACTAGAGCTGCACAATGGGCTATTGGCGACGGTCTGGGAAACATCCCGGAGGATGATCCGAAGACATGCCATCACAATTTTGATCCTCTGTGGAGGGGATGGCACCCCCGCTTCGGTAGCCCGACGACCTGCGCGCGAAGTCGAGCACTTCACGGTAGCACAATTTAACGAGGATCCATACCGCACACCCTCGGTCCCTACGCAGACTGATCCAAGTGGTCACCCACCCGCACACTAACCGTAGCCAGTGATGCTTGACTTCGGTGATCTGCTGGGAACCGTGTCTTAAAGATCAATCCACTGCGGGACGAATATTTGGAAACAAATAATTCTATGAAACTGTTATGAATTATTTAGATTAATCCTGTATTTTCAGCTATGATCAAGTGGTTATAATTACCATAACTTACATAGGCACGCTCGCTTGTTTTTCAACTGCGTGTAAATCTGGTAGAAAAGACAATCCTGCAAAGTAAATAAACAATATATTACCGTTTTTAGTTTCATGTCAATGGACAGCAGAAAGATTTATTATAAAAAGAAACTCAATAACTTTCAACCTATTTATTGAAGTTCTTTACAGATGTATATGGCATGACTTAAAATTAAAACTACTTCCGTTATTTCACATAAGAAAGCGTGAAATATTTGTTTTCTAACAGTATTATACAGAATTGCATATAAGTTTCTTACGTATATCGTTATATCTGAAAAAAAAATTCATTTGTCAAATATTGTGTAGTTTATACTTGTATAGCGGGTAAGGTAATGTTAATATTCACATTGTGGAGAAGTGAAATGTTAGTTGGCAGCTGACAAGGATCAAACCAGGCTGGTGTTGGCAAGTTTTTTGACAACTGACGTTTTTATCGGGTTTTAACCATCATGTCAAAAACATCTTTTCTTACTATAATTTTTGATAATTGTCAAATTCTCAAAATTTTGGTGTTGGAAGTAATTATTAGATATTATAAATGTGAAATTATAAATAAAAGTACAAATAAAATTACAAGTGACCAATCAATTATTTGGTCTTTAATTATTCTGGTATCAAACTTCTTTTTCGTTTTTACAATTACTTTTAAAAGTCCAAAATGTTGCTGTAAAAAATCACAATCTACTGCAGATATTAATTAATTATAAATAAAATCATGTAAAATTATAATTTCTGAAGTCTGTTATTACTTTAATCATTGAAAATAAAACTACAAAATTAATCATCTTACGCATAAAAAGAACTCTACAATAATCTTGTTGATTATGAATTAAATCAATTTTCATTTTACTTCAATTCTAACTTCTTCCTAATGCCTACTGTACTCGAAATTTATTACACAGTTTTCAATCAATAAGACAAAAATTCATATAGATTAAGTTCAAATAAAATCAATATTTAGATTGATTACAAATAACAATTCATTGTTTTATTATCTGTACTTTAAATTTAATAGTTATATCGAAATATATCAAATAAAGATGTTGATAAATTATACAAACTAATATATTTATTTACAAAAAGCAGGAAATAGTTTAAAAACTTTTGGGCAATATTTCATAGTATATAACATGAATCATAGTTATAATGCAAGTATAGTGCATGATTTAAACAGTTATGTAGCTTGACTTCAAAATCAAGGTCCTTTTGCCACAGGTTTCCGACAGTTTTTATTTTATTTCGATTCGACTGGTTTTGACACTTTTCAACAGGTCACAAACTAGTTTTTGACGTCAAAAACTAAACCCTTAACCTGTCATTTTTGGATTCGTTGCCACATGATCTAATCCCCATGTAAAAAGTTATACATCCCCTACCAAGAGAAGTTGAGATGTTTGAGTGTGAATGTAGCCTCACTCTCACTGTAAGTGAATGATAATGATTAAGTGAATGACAAAATCTGACTCGTTGTCAGCCGTGAGAGTTTACGCGCAATTGAGAGACTACGTAATTGTGAGTGAAGTCGTTATATACAGTTCTCATTTTCATGTCAAAGAACGATCCGAATTAATAATCCGAATCATTAATAATCCGAAGAAATAGAGTGCTCAAATTTCAAACTGATACAATTGAAAACAAAACAGTGTTTGATTCCAATACTTCGCTTGATAATCGATGCTCAAATCTTCGGATGTAAACAGAATAACATATAAAAACTATAGATTAGAGAAAAGATTATGCGACAATTCTAAAAACTACGTGTTCCAAAGGAATAACAAACTTTAAAAAAAGAGAACATTTTTTTTTTAATAAATCTTAAACATAAAAGTAGGGCAGATCATTTTCATGACTATGCTCTACCTCTGAAAAAGTTCGACAGTCACTGTTTTTCGTTTTCCACCCCAAGTATTTTGATTAATAACACACATACCTCGATAGGGGGCTAAGGCTATGGCTAAATCATCGATATTTCTGAGTAGAACGTCATCTTCGTTTAAAGTGACAACGAAATCCCATATACCAAGATGCAAAAGATTTTCATATGCCTAGAATAAATAATATATACAGCTTTACAAACCTAGATAATACCGTTAACTAAAACACAGATAGCTTATTAATGTCTCAGAGAAAATCTTATTTTGTCATTGGTCTAGTAAACAAAGTCTATTTCAGTATCGTGCATGCTCTGAAAAATTGCCCAAACGAATTTTATCTTTTAAAGTACAGTGGACTTTCGATTTACTTATTACACCAGATGTCCTGTAACTGCTGCCTCTAATAAGAGTTTTAAGAATTCTTGTTAAAGAATAAAAGCCGATTGAGGGTTGAAAATTAATAATACATTTTATCGCAATATAGCAAAATACAACTGAAGAAGGTGTAACTGGCAACAATAAAAATAAATTTCTTTATCATGTATATATGCAGCTATATACATATATGCAGCTATATACATATATGCAGCTATATTCATATATGCATATATTTCAGAACATACTGTGTAAGATAAAGTTGGGAAATAATTCATAGTGCTGCGTTAAATAAAATTAACCGCTTGTTTTTCCATACAAGATTTCTTACCAGCTTTCTTGCTGACGAAAGTATTATTCTTTTCAATATTCAAAATTTCCTAGAACTTAGTGGTCAGATTACCATTAATTTAATGTGTAATTGTGACATCAAAGAGCGACATTAACGCTAATGGCGTTAAAGCAAAATGAAATTAAATCTAAAGTTAGAACTCGATACATTTATCAATCAATGCCTTGATGAGTGAAGGAATATTTTGCAACTTAAAAATGTTTTATTTTCACCTTATTTTCATTCTCCTAATATAAATTTATAAATTTCTTCACCAAACTAGCAAGCATTATTGCAATTTTTAATTTTCTCTGAACATAATATTGGTTTTCGAACCATCTTTAACTGAAAGCGTATTTAAATGACAATTATAGATATCCAAGAAAGATGTAATTCACCTCCATTTTGGCTCTAACAGTTTCATAGGAGTCAAAAGTAGTGGAAAAAGAACTTTCCGTGGGAACAAGAATTATGTTGTGCCTTGTGGGGAAAGATTTTTCTATCTGACTTTCTAACTCCTGCGAGAATAAAAAACATAAAAATAATCAGTGAACAACGCAATCTGAAAAAAGAAATAATAAAAAAAAAAACAAGTGCTTTTTTTAAAAAAAAAGATCATGATATCAATCTATTCCCACTCCATCTTGGATTTAGATTAAATTTTGAATTTACGTTTTTTAGATTTTTCGTTCTTACAACATTTTGATGATTTTTGAATTCAAAAAATATTAAAAAAATAAATAGGAAAGATTAAGAATAAGAATTGAAATATTAAAATACCTAAGATATAAAGAATAGTTCTAGATTCGGAGAAATATAGCTTGAAAAAGTTTATAATTTCCATAAATTTTTCTTAAAAATTGCTGGACATCTTTGAGCTACCCGCTAAGTAGTAAGAATACTTATTTCACTAACGTTGCCATCTCGAGTGTCTTGGAAACAGCTTGGCTCGAATAAAAAAATTTGGTTTTGTTTATCATATGCTTTTTAATAAATTAGTTAATTTAATATCTGATTTCCCAGATGATATGTAGAACTGAACTTGCATAGAAAAACAAAAGAACAACATTCTTTTCATAGCCTAAAACTTACCTCTCTCAATTGTTCTTCTTTATCAATATGAACTGCGTACAGAAAATGATCTCTATAGATAGATTGCAACACAGAAATCTATAAGATACAATATAATAATGCAATTTTAATCTTCACAAGGAAGAAAAATACTTTTACTTTCAAGTTTACGTAAACTTAATGTTAGAAAATTAAAATTTTATTCCTTTATATCGGGTTTTTAAAGTTTACGATTTTCTAATTATTTTTAGCCACTACTCAAAATGAGGAGTTAAATTGGTTTTACGATTTAAGGGTCTATTTAGAAATTGTGTAATACTTTATCAGTTATTCATTTTTCTAGAAAACTCTTGGATATCAGTCATTGTTGATATATCGTTAGATGATTTTTGATCTGGAGTGTTATTGGTATACATTTAATAAACAATGATGATCAATTATAGAGGGATCATCTCAGAATAAATAGAAATAGGAGTATCCTATGATAGTAGGATTGATATATATATA